GGTTTGTAGGGGGGGGATGAGAGCACACACGCTGAGACCATTGGGTACCCAGAGCCACATCTGTGGGGCTGGGAGCTGTGGGATGGGCTGCAGGGACATTCCTGGGTCCGGCTGCTTGCGAGGGTTGAGTCCACCCCATAATAACCCGCAGACCCCAAGAGACCAGGGAGTTATTACATGAGGCTCCAGAGTCCCAAAGGCAGCCTGTAATTACAGTGGGATGGGGCAAAGGCTTCCCCAGCCAAACTAGCATTTACCAGCGCTGGCAGCCGTGCGAAGGCAGTGGCTGGGGAGGGTAAGGGGCAATCTGGGGTTTGCTCTCCCTCCCCCGTGTCCCCCCCGAAAAGATCTGGAGGCAAATAGGAGCTGCTTGTGGCTACTGCACAGCCCGGCCCCGCTCGCTGCCGGACCACGATGGGATGGATGAGCAAGGACGGGGGGGCGGGGGCTGCGGGGCTGCTCTGCACAGTGCAAAGGTGGGCATCACTCAGGGGTGGCACCGGGTCCACGTAGCATGTCCAGGGCAGGGGACAGAGCAGCGGCAAAGGGACGTGGGTGGGGGGCCGGCAGCTGGCACCCCCCTTATTTTTGGTGCCAAGGCACCTCACCGGTGCAGGGTCTTTTTCGGAGCCCCACGGCGCGGAGCAGCTGGGGCCAGGGCGTGGGATGCGAGCGAGCGAGCGGGGCTGCAGCCAGCCACCGATTTCACAACCCTGGGCTTCCCACGGGAAGGAGAGGAAGGGAGCAGACAGCGGGCGAGCATTCCCAGCCGAGGGCTGCCTGTCATCCCATTTCTGGCCAGGGAAAGCCTGGGCTGAGCCCTTTCAGCTTGCTGCATGCAAGGGAAGCTTTGAAGCACCTCCCATGGAAACGGGGTGACCCCAGGAGCATCGGACCGTGCTGACACACGGAAGCCGTGGCGAGAGCATCGCCCCAACAGCCCGCACCCGAGTCAGAGTTTCCAGCAGAGCCCCGGGGCTCGCTCGGCAGACGCGCCGTCTCCGGGTGACCGACTCCCTCCAGATTGCCTCAAATCTCAATTCAAGAATGTTGTTTGGGCTGAAGAATGTATCGCTAAAAAAGAAAAAAGGGAAAAGGGAGGCCGGGGTGAGAAGGGAGGTCGAGGGAGGGTTCGCCCTGCCCTTCCGCGCTGACCTTTGCGTTTTTTGGAGAGGAAGCTGCAGCCGCCCGGTGCAGACATTTGTCAGATGTTGAGCATGTTCCCTCCACCTGGCTCAGCAGAGGGTGAGCCCAAAGGGACCCGCCGCTCCCTGCTCCCCCCCACCCACTGCCTGCACCCCCTGAGGACCCCCCTGCACCGCAGTTACTCCATTTCCCTGCCTGCCTTTCCACTGCCTGCTCGTATTGTGGCCATCCTTGGAAATCGAGTGGGAGCTTCCAGGTGAGTCTGGTTTCGGCAGAGCCCTTTGAAAAGGAGCAGCACAGCCCTGGGGGGGCCATCGGAGATGATAAGCCCTGTGAAAGCCACGTGGCTGCTCCCCCAGGCACAGGGGAGCCTAAGCCGCCCCGCAGACACCAGCGCTCTCGCTCTGGGGCACGGTTAGAGGAAGGAGAGGGTTCCCTGCACAGCACGGAGGGATGGAGTGATGCAGAGGTACCTGGAGAAGGGCACTCGCTGCCAGCGCCTGCATGATAAGTCTCTCTGTGTTTTACAGAGGCTGGAAAGAGCCAGGACTAGCAAGGAAAAGGAGGTTTGGTTGCAAATATCCAGAAAGACCATGCAAACTTGGGAGCCATGGACCTCTGAGGACTGGCTCCAGAGCCTTTCTACTCAGGTGTTTGTAGCACGAGCCTTGTCAGGAGGCCTGATGCAAAGAAGAGGCTCTGGATCATGGCTGCATGGGTCCCTCCACCATGCAGGCTCTGCAGGCGATGCCCCACGCGTTTCCACCCACCCTGCCTGAGCAAGGTTGGAGATGCCAAGGGACAAGGTCTCCTTGGCTCCTACTTGGACTCTTGTCACTGGAGTCCCTTAAAAGAGCAGCTGGGACCTTCACCCTTCAGGGATCTGCCTTTAAAGACAAGGTCTAGGAAGGGACCTGCAGGACCTGCCAGGCAGCCAGGGCAAGGCATGGTGAGACTGCTACACAAGCAGCCCTGTCTTCAAGCACCCTGAGCCCAGTGGGACTGGTAACCCCCTCCCAGGACGGGGAGGGCCATGGAAATTAAAGAAAATAGCATGAGTGGGAGGACAGAGCAGCCAACAGCTCCACTAGAGCTGAAACTTCTTGGAAATGTGGAAGAGGCAGAAATAACATTTCCATGAGTAAAAAGGGAAGCTGCTCAGAAGTAGCTTCTGACAGTCGCTGGTTTTGGATGCCCACGGTACGTTTAATAGTTTCCCCTTCATCCAGGCAGAACGAGCTTTAGCCTTAGCAGGAGCATCAGAGAGCTTTGTTTCTTTGTAATACTGGGAAGCGTTCGGTTCCCCCTGCCAAAAGCATCCTGACAAACCCGCGTCCATCCGCAGAGAAGACAGCGCTCCCGGCTCCGAGTGCAGGTTTTGCAAATTAAAGGCAAACTCGGGGCCAGATTCGGTGGTTTCAAATACAAAGCTCAAGAGCATTTGATCAAAACAACTGGAACAAACCCAACCAAAATAGACACTGTTCACATCAGTTTAGTTCAGAAAACCAATACAGGCATCTGTCTGGCCATGATGAGATGCAGACTGCAACCGTTGGAGTAACTGCTCCGGGTGGGATTATGCAGCGATAAGGACCATTGGCTTCGAGCAAGCAGGACGGCATGTTCCCAGGTCCTGTCACCAGTTCAGGGCTTTCTTTGAACCGCCAGCAATAGGGAAGGGATGTTTATAGGAGGAGATGTTGAAAAAGTTCTGTGGAAGTCACTTGGGAACCGAGAGGAGCTGTTTTGCATTGGGCTGAAATGAGCAGTAGCACCGAGGTCTTATCAACGCCCACCTCACGCCAGGCAAACAGACCAAAGCAAGAGAGCCCTGCAAGCGGCTCGGGAGATGCTGGTCACCTGCAGCATGAGATTTCAAGGTTGGATGGAGAAAAAAAGACATATGTGCTTCTTTAGACGGTAAATTTTCACTTCCCTGAGCTAGTCCTAAACTGGTCAGGATGAGATTTAGCAGAAAGTCCTGGTGACTGTGGGGAACATACGAAGTGAGTATAAGCATGTCGTTATTTTCTGGTGCAGGCTGGGAAAGGGGGATGTGTCCATGGGGAATGGCACCATTCGGAGCCAGCTCATGCGGGGAGGGCTCCTCAGCATCCCCGGGGGACCACCAGCCCCTGGCACCCACAGCGGGCGCCCGACCCCAGTGGGTGCTGCAGGACAGCCTTCCCCCAAAGGGTGCATGTCCTGGGTCATGAATATTTTTAACTTCCAGAAGATGGAGAGGCCACACTCCTTATCTAATCTAGCTGGGGACAATCTGCGTTTCCAGATAAACATCCAAGCCCTGCAAAAGCCTCCGAGCTGTTGGCCACCAGGACACCTCGAGCTGCCAGGGATGTGACGTTGGTTGACACCATCCAAGCGCCGAGCAGCAGATGTTACTGGCTGCCACTACCCTCCCCACCATTTTCCCTGGAACGGAGCTCCCTGGCAGCGGGAACAAATCCCTCCAAGCGGGGTCATTCTCCGCATCAGCCCAGAGCCTCGAACCACCTTTCCTGCCCACGGTGAGAGCCCTTCTCCAGCTGCCCCACACTGCTGCAAGCTGCCATGGCAATGCTCGACGGGGAAGAAGAGATGCTACCAGCCAAATGAAAGCCCCCACCCCGTTTTACTAGCGTTTTACCTCCTTTTAGGCAGCGCTACCGCCCTGCCCCGCTCGAAGGCAAGGCTTTCTCTGAATCCTCTCTCTCCTCGCAGATCTCGGCCCCGTGCTGCAGTGCAGCGAGCTGTGCTTTCCAGGCACACTCTTCCTTCCCAAACAGACTGGCTTTCTGGCAAAGTCCCCGCTGTACAGCGTGTCCCTCGCAACCCCGCACATTCCTCCTCCTTGCAACAAGGACCTCGGAGCGATAAGGATCTTTGCAAGGCTCCCCGGGGGAAGAGGATGTTTTGGCTGGGAAATTTCGATGGAAAGCAAGGAAAAAGCAAGCCCGGAGGGAGTCTGGCACCTGCTGAGCTTCACTAAGTAATTCCAGGCTCCTGGGAGGACCTGGGCGTGCTGCTGGAGCTGGGCACGGGATGGCGATGGGCGGTCAGGGCTCCTCCTTTCCTTTCCTCGCTGGAGGAAATGCTTCGACAGCCCTGGAAGAGCCGTCTCCAAAGCTGAAGTGCACAGGAGCCAGGATGGGGACTGGGGGGGCTGCGACAGCGCCCGCCGCTCCCCGGCTTTGCAGCACTCACCCCCACGGCAAGGGCGGCCCCGGGA